TGGCAGGAGAAGAGCATGAGCTTGCCCGAGTTTACCTTTCCCCATCACTACTTTAGAGCTGTGCTTAGCACACAGTGATTGCTGGGAGCGTGGTTGTTGGATGACGGAACGCACAGGCAGACGGTTAGTGACAGTGGGGCGGCGAGGATGCACATGGAGAGGGTGGGCAGTAGGTGACCAGTTGTCTGCTCTGTTGTGTGGGAGACTCTGAGTTCCTGACTGGGAAAAGACGCTGAGTTCCTGACTGGGAAGAGATGTGCTGTGGGAAAGGGGAGGGAGGCTCACAGCTTTCTCCACAGGGCGTGGCTCCGGTTTTGTGGTACCCCTCCTCCTGCTTATGGTACTCTAAGTTAGTGAGAAGGTGAGATGACCTCATGCTGACCCGACTTCACCTGAAGTCAGTGGGTTATGTCAACCCCTGCAGTCCCCAACCTAGCGCTCATGTGTAAAGTGCAGACTCCACACACCAGGCAGGGAGAGCAGACTCTGTGTTTGCTGCTCCAGAGGAACAGTTTCCCCTCAGCCCCGCAGGACATTATCCACGGAGAGCCAGAAGTGCTGCACTGCCCAGTGGTGGGGAGAGCCCGAGGGTTGGGTCTGGGGGCCCAGCGAGGAACAGCAGAGAGGACGCTGGGGATCCAGACTGAAAGACAGAGGTACAGACTAGCGTGTCACACCTCTGCTCCAGTCTGCAGCAGACACTGCGTGAGGACTCACACTCACCTCAGGTGATGATGTGTTTGAGCGTCTTTCAAGACATGGCCTCTTCCCATTCGTCACTCACTCCCCACACGGTTGTGTACAGGAGTCGGGCTGAACCTCTCATTCCTCATCTCTTTTCCATGTGGATTCCAGTTCCCTCCCCTCGGCACCTGTGTCTCCCTGGGCTGTGTGAATGCTCTCACAATTCACCTCTGAGGACAGCTATGCAGGGGAGGGGCGTGGAACAGCCCCATGGAGAGACTCCTCTTCTCTGGTTCCCTCTCCCAGCCACTGCTTTCCCACAGACAAACTTCAGGGGCGATGCCCTGTGGGAACTTTCTGGAAAGATGTGCATCTCTTCTCATACTCAAATTTGTTTCCCAGGGACTGAAAAGGTGGTTCAACTTGGAGAGTGCTTGTTACTTGAACATGAGGACGTGTCTCAACACATAAATACACACATACATACATGCACACAGATAGAAAGACACTCAAGGACTCAGGCATGTTTATGTGCAGAAACACGCACACATACACACTGGTAAGCAGAGATCCAGATGAGTATGCAAAGCTGTTTATTGGTTAGAAAAGATCTGTTGGGCTTAATTGAAAGTGATGGGGGACAGGCTTCCCAGGGCAGATGCGGATGACGGCACAGACACAGAAAGGGACTCTTCCCTACTGCGGTCATGGAGGCAGCAGATGAAGGTACAAGGTGCCGGTGCTGGAGCTAAAATATATCGTCCAAGTGAACGGGAACCACTGGGTAGGAGCCGTTGTCTTGTGGCGTTCTATTGTTACAAGCAACTCTGTAGAACATCGTTGCTGGTGAAGTTTGGTATCGGCATTGTGTATAATGGCTTCCTCGACTCGTGAGGTTGCAGTAAGTTAAAGATACTGGAGCTGAACTGTTATGACAATTTGTACCCGGACCCCTTGTGCAATTAGTACTTCGCCTGGCACACACACCAGCGACAGCAGCAAAAGTTGTGTTAAGAAAAGTATTTTGTCCCTTGCATCGTCCTGTATAACGGTTAACTACCAGCATTGCAGGAGTACATAGGAGGGTGGTTCTGTTATTTACATGCTGGATTTCAAACCACTGGGAAGGGGTTAAACCCGGTGGGGGCCGGAATGAGACAACCATTATGACAAGTCCCAACAGCAGCAGGAGACAAAGTCGGGACTCAAGCAGCGTCACACCCATGTTTCCTGTGGGAACAGAAGAGAAGGAATTACTCCCCATCTCGGCTCAGTTTTTCCTGCCTCCTCCTGAAGGTCCTCTGCTGGCACTGTGGGCTCACAGGGCCATTTCTCCTGACCCCCCCCCTCCTTTCCCAGTCTCAGAGACTTACCCAGTCTATGTTGAGCTCCTGTGAGAACACAGTGCTGGTTGTCCTGGAAATCGGGGATGGTGGGTGAGCTGCACTGGGCCCCATACATATAGAGCAGCCCTGTGGGTGGAGCTGGCAAAGCCAGGTGTCTGGAGTCTTCAGCATGCAGAACCACAGACTGACACATGGCCTCGCTGTGCAATCAGCCCGCTGTTTCTTCACTTGGCCAGGCAACGGACGCCCCAAAGAGCAGTGCTCTTAGCTCCGTTGTAAGGAGTCTAATTCCAAGTCATCTTGTGCAGGGCAGAGGTTGACGTCTGAATCTGAACTCTGCATAGAAATCTCTGTATCGCCTGCTGATTGACTGCAGATTTTGTGACTGCACTTCAGGTACAGACAGACCAAGGTTCCTAATAGTCTGGCTCAGTGCTTAGAGGAAACAGAGCCTTGGAAAGGCAGATTCATAAGAGATATTTGCATACTGTCTCTCAGTTCTAACATCACATGATGTCGAGGTCTGGAGAGGCCTCAGTGTTAAGGGCACGTGCTGCTCTTCCAGAGGACCTAAGTTTGCTCCAGCGGCTGTGTTGGGTGGTTTACAGCTGCCTGTAACTCCGTTTATGGAGATCTGATGTCCTCTCATAGCTTCTGTTGGCATGTGCACGCACACAGACCCGCAGAAACACATGAATAAAAACAAACCTTAGGGACTGGTGACATGGCTCAGTGGTTAAGGGCACTTCCTGTTCTTCCAGATACCTGTTCCAGAGGACTTATTTGTCACCCAGAGCTCACAATTGCAGAGAAGTCCAGTCCCAGTATACTCTGACACATTTCTGGTTTTTGTTTGTACATTCACACAGGTGGTCCATAAGTGCAAAACACAAACATATATGCACACACACACACACACACACACACACACACACACACATATATATATACTAACAGTCAAATGAAAAGTTAGAAAGTAAACCTTAAAAACTGTGTTCTGAAATATTAACAAACATTGTACTACGAGCATGCCACGTAATATTTTTCTGATGGTTTCCTGTATAAGATCCCTTTCTACATTTCAAACTACCCACAGATGCTTCCAGAACTGGTATAAAATGACCTAGTTTACATCAAGGAGCTTCATGGAAAAACCTCCTTGTCTAAGATGTGTGAGTGACTGTAGCCCAATGTTAATTAAAACACCCTAAACTTTACTGTGAATTTGTATGTGTTTGTCTTTTTTCCGGGGTTTGAACCTGGGGTCTTGTGCCAGCTAGATAAATGCTCTGACACTGAGCCACACCCCCAGTGCCATGTGGATATGAGTTTTGGCTTCGAGAGAATAAATATACCTCCATTTCTCTGTTATCAAAACCTCCTTTGCATTCCAGTCAGTGGCTCATTGTCAGACCCGGCCACATTTCTATTGTGAAGCACCGCTAGTATAACCTTACAATAAGTAATATTTTTAACTTGGTGAATGCTGTAAGGTATTGTCTCGAGAAATAACTCCATATTTCTCATAAAATTCACGGTATTTTTCTGTTCCACTTGATGGATATCTCTTTGTGCAGATTCCATTGGTGAGAGAAGATGTCTAACTCTTGGAATTTCTTCAACCTGGGATACAGCTGCAATGACTGCTCTTAACCTGCTGACTGGACACAGGTCTGCCAAGTGCAGGGACTGTCCATGGAAATGACAGTGCATGGTATTTATAACATTGTCACAATAACCTGTTTTTAAGGATTGATCTGGGATTACTTAGGATATGCTGGGACAGGGACTCACTCTGCATCCTACATTTAGTTTGAACTTGCTTGGAAGCCCCAGATTGGATTTCAGTTTTCCATCCTTCTGCCTAGTCTCCTGAGTGCTGGGGTTAGAGAATTACAACCCACACCAGCTTATGAGCTGGATTTTAACTATCTCTGAAAGACTCATGTAATAAATGCTTGCCCACAGCCTGTGGTGCTGTTGTAGATGGTAATCTTTGGAGGCTGTGTTGTGCCCAGGTTGTAAAGATCCCCAGAGACCACCAGGAAGACAGACCCACCAAAATGTAAAAGCAAGGTTTAATTGTATTGATTGTTTATTCACCCATGACAGGGACCCTATCTGGCAAGTTGACACAGCAGCCTCCAAAGGGAGGGAAGTTCCCTGTCTACTGCTAGGTTGCATAGACAAAAGTTACAGGATTACATCAGTAAGTATGGGTTGGTTTCTGATTTGTTGGCATTTGGGAACAATTAGGAGGATTTCTCAAAGTCATATTTTGACATAAAACACCTGTGTACTGATTATTTTCATTGGTCAGCTGACAGGGAACATTCTTTGGTTTCTATGGCATTCTCTTGTTACTTGCAGGTGGCCTGTTGTTCATAGATACCAATAGTTTTCAGAACTGTATCCTGGAGACTACAGGGAACATTTTGGTCTCCTGTGGAGTTTCTTTTGTGGCCAAACAGTTCCCAGGAACCAAGTATCTAGGAGGCTAGGGAGGTTCTGGAGTTTCTTTGTGTTCAGTTTTGGCCCTAGACTCCGGGAGGCCAGACGATCTGGAGTTACCTTGTGTCAGAGGTCTATGTGTCTTTTCTGTAGCCTGTCATGGCTTCTAAGGCAGGGGGCTGAGTGAGGGTCTCCTCCCTTTATTTCTAAATTATTAGAAGTGAAGCCTTTGAATTTAGTTTACCCTTTCAGCAGGACTCAGCAGAAAGAAGTTAGGACATTGTGGGCGTGTCCATAAAAGGCACATAGGGTCCCCAGGTGCCCTTTCTGCCCTCCTGTCTTCTGCCATGGGCAGTTTTGTTTTAGTACGTTCTTCCCACCATGCTCTCCTCTACCACAGACTCCAAACAAGGGAGCCAACTCTCTGTGGATTGATATCTTTGAAAATAGGAATCAAACTAATAATCTTTGCTTCTGTCAAACCATTTGACTCAAGCGTCTATCAAACTGGAGAAATCTGATTTGCACAGTGATGCAAGTTAATTTAACTATGATTTGTTTCCAGAAGTTCAAAGTACATTTGGTGCATGGTCTCTAAGACTTCCTTCTTTATGTTATGGGGCCTCCTACAAATCTCCTCAGAAGGCTGCAGAACAAAAGCAGATCTTCAACCTTTTGCTCAGGATTCTGGAATTACACGGAACCCAGAGGGACCACACAGGCAGACAGGGTCTGGGTCGCTGGTGTCTGTGAAGGGCCTTGCATCTTCCTTGTGCACTAAGGATTCTGGTGAGTGACTCCATGCTTGGAGCTTCCAGATGGACCCTGTGGAGCCCTTTGTCACCTGTCCCTCTGCACTGGCTGTGGGTGACTGGTACCACCTCATTGGCTGTGGTCAGGTACAGCAAGTCTTCACTTTGGGAGACATGGTTGATTGGTGCCTCTGAAGATGTCCTCATGGTACTCACTGAGGGTGCCTGTCACACCCCATGTAGGGGTTACAGATACAATGGATGGTATGGTACTCTGGCTCCAGCCTGGCGTCACTCGCTTTGACTGTGATTTTAATTGGAATGACACTGAATCTGTAGGTCAACAGAAAAAAAATTCCATGTATTTAAACTATGTTAGTTAGGGTTTCTGTTGTTTGAAGAAACACCATGACCATGGCAACTCTTATTAAAGATAAACATTTACATGTGGAGGCAGCTTATAGTTCAGAGGTTCAGTCCATTAATATCATGACTGGGAGCACAGTGGTATGCAGGCAGACTTGGAGCTGTCTCTATTTGATCAGAAGGCAACAGGAAGTGGACTGATTATCACCCTGAGCAAAGCTTGAGCAAATGAAACCCCAAAGCCCACCCCCACAGTGACACACTTATTCCAACAAAGCCACACCTCCTAATAGTGCCACACAATATGAGCTTATGGGAACCAATTACATTCAAACTACCACATAAGTGCTCAACCTTCCATTGAACAGAGGCAGAACTGGTGGGGTCCAGATGGTCTGCAGTTCCTTTATCGAACACTGGCACACATGTGGGCCCTGACTGGGGGAAATGTCCAGGTAAAAATAGATCCTAGGAGGCATGTCCTCCAGGGTAAAACAAGGTCACAAGGGCAGGAAGTGCAGAAGGAAGAACTCAGATAAGTGAGATCTCTAGTAGATTATTAAATCATATGTAAATAGCAGTGGGGAAAAATAACAATTTTCATTCTTGGAGGTAACCTAGAGTTTTTTGTCTCTGCCTACCATTACGCACTTCTAAGGTTCCAGTGATGACAACAGCTGTGTTACCAGAATGCTTATACATCTATCATTAAGCTTTCTTCAATGTGATGCTAATGTCTAAGTTGTACTATAAATCACATCAGTGTGAAGTTTCACTTTGCTAATGCTGTGCTGGGCCTCACAAAACAGTCCTCCAAGATATTTCTGGCATATTGACTTCAGCCATCTGTCTTGAGAAGGTGCAGAGAGAGGAGCTGCCTGGAAAGTGGCCACTTTGTAAGAGAAAGTGCCCTCTAAAAAGGATGCTTCCATTCACAGCGGTACTCACCAGGAGCACAGCCTTGCTGAGACACTGTGATCTGAGGGACTTGTGTGAGAACAGGACAGCAGAGCTCACTACACCTCCTTCCCCCATACCTCATCTCCAGGCCACTAGCCCCAAGTTTCCTCTGTGTGTGTGTGTGTGTGTGTGTGTGTGTGTGTGTGTGTGTAGCTCAGGATGTTAAAGAAGCTTGGGTTGTTAGTCCTTTCTTCCAACTCACATTTGTGCCAGACCCTGCACTCAATTGCATATGATGATACAAGAAACACAGTTCACATCTTAGAGAGTTTATTCTGGATGCAAATATAGGTGGTTGTGACAAAGGAATGCAGGTTAATGTTACCTCATATTCCATGATCCATTGTGGTAACAGTTTGATGACAATTTTATAGCAACAGTGCAGAGGAATCCATATGTCAAGGCTCATCTCAAACACACTGTGGAAAAGAGACAGATGGAAAAGGAAGGACCTGAGTTAGGTGGTGCACACATTTAATTCCAGCACTTGTTGTGCAGAGGCAGGCAGAGCTCTATGAGTTCAAGACTATGGAGGTTTACACAGGAAGGCCTGCCAGACCTACATACTGAGACTGTTTCTGAAGAAAAAGGAAGGAAGAGCATCATGGTG